TTTCTTTTCTCTGAGTTCCAAGCTTTGAACCTTAATCTCATTTCTTTCTAAAGCCATTTAGAGAAAATGGAAGTGTAGCATAGAAGATAACATTTCCCACTAGTTCAAGCATTGGTCCTTTCTTCATATGCCTATAATTGGTCTCTAACAGCATGCTATCCTAACTATTAGTAGATTTGTTGGGGATAGTTTTCTGGGCTGTTTTTTTAATGACTTCTTGATCTTAACTTCTTCCATTTTCAGGTAAAGTGAATAGAAATTTTAGCATCATAATTATTTTCCATCTGGAATTCCTATCAAATGAATGCTTAACTAGTCTAAGGTGACACTTAAAAGAATTGAATAATAAAATCTCTTCCACTCTCAATTATAATAACAATATGAGTTTGATTCAAACCCCTTTCTTTTTTTTTTTTCATTGCTTAAGGATTTGAAAGAAATTTGAATGTCATTTTAATTTATTATACAAAGTTTCTCTTAAAGTCCATATTTCTATCCTTTAAAAGCTCTTGAGAACTATTGTCTTCATGTTAAAGAGCTACATCTTGCATGGTGTTTGATTGATACATTACTTACCTTTCAAAAATAAAACCTTCATCTGCCCAAATCCAATTATTTCTTGAGAACTTAAGTAAAAGAGCCAACCTGTGTGCTTTCTTCTGCCAAAACTATGTCCTAATGTGTGCGTGCTATGTAATTCCTTAGATATATGGAATGTGAAAATTTTGTTTTTAGCTGACTATCACTAAGGTGATAATCTATTGAGGTGAATCTTATGTGGATTGGGAGGCTCACAAATTCCAAGTGGGATTATAACAACTGTGGTGTCATGAATTTCATGCCCTGACCAGAAGAAAAAAATAATAAATATTTGTGTGTCTAAAGATGAATATTCTCAACACATTCACCAACACTCTAAGCTTGTATCCAGAGGAAGCTTATATTCTGTTGAAGTCACAATAAATCAATAATTTTGTCCAGGGAAAGAGATGTCTTGAGACTGGGATGGACGCATTTGGATATTAGTTGCAGAATCTTGACCAGCTATCTTGAACTTTATATCAGGATTAACCCTGTATTCTGTTGAAGTAACATCAAATCAAAGGGGAAAAAGATTCTTGTGACCGGAGTGATGCAATATTAATTGTCCTATTATATATGTATGTAGAATTTTAAAATTTGAGTATTTCTTTGAGTGGGAAAGCAACTGAAAGAACCCAAAGTTTTGAGACCATCCCATCCAGTATCTTTTCTTTTGGAAGAGAATCATGATGACCTGTCATGGTGGATCCCATAATAGGTGGTGGGGCCAGCTGAAGTGGATTGTCAAAAGCCTCTGTAGTTGTTGCATGTACTAGCAAGAAATCTTCTAATTTACAAGGATGAGGTTGAAAAAACAGCAGTCAGAGCATTGACTTGAAATCTATGTAGTTTGAAAATGAATTGATTCAAAGAAGTAAACTTTAAAAGGGCAATTTTATAGTGAACATTCCTGCCCAGGCAGATCACTGGGGAAAGCAGAGTGGCAGCTAATTGTCAATACTGAATTGCTAGGAATAGTTGCCATCCTGTATCTCAATTTTGTTTTTGTTTCTTTTTTTCCTTGAATCTTGGATGACTGGCATGACATACATGTTTTCTGTATTTTCTTAAAATAAACTTTTATTTTCTTTCTGGCCAAATATGCCACAAGGCATTCATGGTACTAACTCTTAGTTCATATATTCTGTCTACTTATATCTTTCACATATTCTTCTACTTATCTTCCATGATTTTATTATAGTTTGTTGTGCTGTCTCATGCTTTCCAACACAGTTCTATGTGATTTCTAATTTTTTTCCCTTTTTTTATGCCCTCCCTAATATTAATTACATTCAAACAATAATATGGATTTTTGAAATCTTGGTGGATGCAGGTAGTTACCACTACTTATCAGATGAGACAGTGGTGATTAGAATGGATTTGCTCTGATAATTGAACTATTCAAAATTTGACAACTAATATTGTATTATAACTGTGTCCATTATCTAGTAAGTTGGTCTGCTGGTGCTGGGTCCTTAGGAATTATCACTTTTTTTACTATCAATGTATTCTGTTGTTTGCATTTGATTACTTTTGAGCAAGTTGGTAACTCATTTGATGTTCCAAAGGCAGCAGAATTGGAAATTGAAGCATATCCACTACTGGATGAGCTTACATCAAAGATCAGTACGATAAACTTGGAGCGTGTTCGCAGATTAAAGAGCAGACTTGTTGCATTGGACCTCGAAGAGTTCAGAAAGGTATGAAGTATTTGCATCTCTCTCTCTCTCTCTTGTTAGGTAAATGATAGCCTTATGTCTTCTGATACTTTCCCACTCATTGGGTATCCATTTTAGGTTAGAGATGAATAGAGCAGCTAATGGATGATGATGGAGATATGGCGGAAATGTATCTTACTGAGAAAGAAGAGTAGGATGGAGTCATCATTTTAATGGTGATCAATCTATGATGGGATTCAGATCAAATGATGGACTCTCTGTTTCTGCTCCAGGTTTCTCCTGTTTCTTCAACCCCTAATCCCCGGCAGGCTGGGAGAAAAGCTTGAGCATTGCACAGGAGTCGCCATGAGAGCTGAGGAGTTCAGAGAGTGCTACAGGGAGTATAGAAGAGCTGGAGATGTTACTGGAAGCATACTTTCGTTTTGATTGATAGCACCCTACAATATTGACATCGGTATGCAGAATTATTGGAGTCTAATCTTTTTCATCTTCAACTTCTCTTGGATGGATGTAACATTATCTTTCTCTTTGTTTCAGATGAAGGAATACATTGATGCAACAGAGGATTCATCAACTATTCAGCTGGGGTCTGTGATTTTCCTCTATAGAAAAGTTTGTTTTTGAAATATTATCTATGAACCTAAAGTTGAGAAGATAAAACTCTAAAGCCTCTTTTAGATGCCACTATGCAATGCAGTCCACCTCA